CTACGATCCATTGGAAGGTGTAGTTCGTTATATGTCAATAACATGCGAAGACTAATTAAATTCTTCTCATTATCTTGCACAAAAGATGTCCCCAATTCGAAACCCCCGCTCTACGGATTTCGTGAGTCTCTCGTCTCGTTACAATCCTCTTCGACTTCGTTTGTTCGTTCGTTCGTTCCGGTCTTTGACCACGTACTTTCTACCTATCTACTCCATTAAATCCTACTCGGACAATAGTTCTTCCTATATGCATAGTACATACGCGTTTCGATCTTCTTCTACCCCGTAGCCCCTGAACCGCATCACCCTAGGTTCTCCTGGTTGTTGTTCCCAGTATGACTTACAATTAGTTGCGCTGTTAACACGCAACCACTCGTCGCGTCGCACAGCAACGTCCTTTTCCTTTGGTCCTGCGCATACGTTTTACTCGACTTGTTCTAGTTTCATTCTACTTCCTGTTACCATGGCCACGTTATTATCATCTCCCAGAACTCGTTACTTTTCCCCTTTCCTCTCTGCAACTCTTCTCCTGTTATTCTCGTTTCAACGGTCGATCATTATCGAGTTTCTGTCGACGAGAAATTCACCGGCAGGCGGCCGGTTCGTTGAACTCGCGCTGCGTATACAGTAATGTCTCTCCAATTGGCCACTAGTTTGGATTCTACAATTGGCCACATAGATGGTCCTACGCCTAGGTCTGCGTCATTGCTGCGCCTATGTTATCTCGCTCGCAGTCAGTCAAGCGTGTAACGCTACACCACTCGGTTTCTTTTACGAGATTTCACGGCTCGACAATTCATAATAGAAAAATATAATTTCTTTTATTTTACTTTTTTTCATCTGAAATTTTTTTTAACATGTTGGTGAGATTTTTCTGATGAAAATGAGATCAAACACGATATAATTTGAACAACATTTACTTATTAATTCTTATTGAGTGATTAATTTAACCCTTATAGTGTCGAACAACGATATGCACTGAGTTGTGTTGTTACGGCTGGAAATGAAGGTTACCCGAGGAGATAACAATAATGGGAGCCTATGAAAATCACAGAATTTTCAATACAGAGCTTAGATCTTTGTCTGTTCGTTGTACACTCGACGATTTACGATGCTCTACGAGACCTTCAATGAAATTGTACCTCGATACGCATAAATTTGCATAAGCAAGTCTGAAAGTGAATCGGTAAATTCTAACTTACACCGACCTTTTTCGTGGCTGCTTGTTCTCTTGCTTTTTGTTCACCTTGGCCATGTGTGTCACGTGTCTTGTTCATCGCGTATCCATCTTTATGGTGTGTTTCGCGCGGTAACCAACGGGCAACAGGATAGCGTATCCGATGATACGCCTGTGCCGGAACCTGAAGAGTAAAACATGACAAAAGGGAGTATCGAAGTAGCAAATATGCTATGTTTGCTAGCTTGATTATCCTCGTTGCTTACGGTGTAAGCTTCTTACATGTAACAAGCTCCTAGATATCATCACTCTATTTCTAAGTCCAAACAGGAAGACTCGATTATTTTTGTAAGTATGCGTGCGCGTTACCAGCACACACCTTACCATCTATACAGGTTTGAGCGCGAGTTCTGCAACGTGTTGCCGCGAAAAAGGACGGAGTAAGTAATTAATGAATCGGGTGTATGTGTTGGCGAAGAAAAAACCAAACGAATATTTAAGTGGTTGTACGTATCATTAAACGGCCACGAATCGGACCAGATACATAGAGCAGGTTTCATTGCCATCCTTCTAGCTCCCTGTAATCGACAATTCTGCTAGTTTCTTGCTAATAAATAGTTTCCCTTTTTCTCCGATCTCTCCTCGATAATCTTCTCGTTTCAATTAAGCACGTCTCTGTAATATTCCTACCTTTTGCTTGGTCAAACGAATGAAACGACGCGACAACGACGACGACGACGACGACGCTGCTTTTCGTCCAAATATTTTCCTTATACTATCATCTCCATATAACCGCCTAGTTTGGGTTTCCTTTCGATACGGATTATCAACTCGAGCTTTCTATTCCTTTGGTTTTTCGACTCCTCTTCCTTTCCTCCCCCGAAGACGAATATTGCTGCCGTGACTTTGCCATTGCAGTGATTCGCATGTAAGTATAGTCGGGGCCACGATATAGCGAGGTCGTAAAATCGGTTAGGCGTCAAAGTAAACATGTTTTAGCTGCCGGGACCCCGAAATTGACAGAAATACGATGCTTCATTTTCCAAAAGCCAAGTTCATTTACCTGCTCGTGTTATATACAGATAGAAAATGCAAAAGGATTGTGTAGCTTAATATTAACATATTTTCCATTTGTAAATGAAATACCATTTTCTACTTGAAGTACCAAATCATATGCTACCATTCGTTTATTGTTGGAACCCTCAAACAGACTGCGACACACGGCCTTGAGTGCCGCAACATCAATCGGTGCCGATTCTTGAGAGTTTAATTTACGACCTCGCTATATCGTGGCCCCAACTATACATGCGTAGGCAAGTGCATGTAGGCATATAGGCATCTACTACCGAGAGATTCATTCTGCTGGACCGTAGAAAACGGAAGGCAATCACTTTCGGATTTGTAAGCACAATTAAAAAAAAAGAAAGAAAGTGTAGGCTATTAACAAAATGTATTATTTTTAGAATATAAGCGGCGGTTAAGATGTTGGGTGTCCGTCTCGCTCGACGGCTATAGCGAAAGTGCCCTCTCCGCGTCCTATCCTGCGTTGCTCCGAAAAACCGTTAGAGCCCCCTAGTTCGACTATCTGGGGAAAGGGGTTAGTTTATGGCACCCTCAGGTATCCGCGCGCTTTCTCTTCCAGTGACCCTGGGTGACGAAGTCCAGGCCACCACTTCGCCGCTTAAATCTCGCATTCCTTACAGATTTTATCCCAGATGACTACGCGAAAAAAGGAGCAATAGATGAAGCTTGATAGATAGAGAGCTGGGTGGGGGGCAATTCTTCGATCGCACGGGATTAAATCCGAAGACTTTAGGTAAGCAACCGTCGCCAACGTATGCAACGAAACGAAACCGTATACATATTCTTCTTCTGCTTCTTCTCAGTTCTTTCCGTTTCTCTCCTCGGTATGTATGTATATACATACATAAATAGTATGTTATCTCAGGGGTGAAATCCGAGAGCACGATCAAGCTTATATGTATAGGAAGCGAAACGTGTATACAGAGTGAGTCTCGTAACATGACGACTTCAAATATCTCGCAAATTATTTGCCGCACGAAAAAATGTTTCAAATAAAAGTTTCGTGATTTCCAGGGGGACATACAGTGCCGTAATCGATTTCTTTGCTTTTTTATCGAAATATCAAGGCCACCTTCAGATTTTTCAATGGAATGTCTAACATTTTTTCTCGAATTCGGATAAAACATCGAATTCTATGTAAAAAGTATTACATGAAATACTTTTAATACGTTTTAAAAGTCTAAAATTAATACTTACTGAGATATTCTCAAAATAAGTATTATTTTAAGCGGTGTTTGAAGTGTTGTTCATTACAATCAATGCAATTGCGTAATCGGTTTATGAGCGAACGAGAAACATTTTCAAGTGCTTCTACAGTTATTGCGGCACATGCACTAATATGTATATCGCTTTGGACGAATTGCTAAAAAAATACATTAAATATCTGTATACACGATTCTACAATTGACTACCAAATGATAGAACAGCAATGATACAAACAGCAGGCCAATTCCACAATTGACCACCAAACGGCTGGTCAATTCCACAATTGACCACCAAACGGTAGGTCAATTCCACAATTGGCCACCAAACGGTAGGTCGGTTCTACAATCGGCTACCAAATAAAATAAATATCGTCAACTAAAAATTTTAAACGTCACAGCTAACTAGACATTATTTTAAATTGAAAAAAAAAAATTATAAAGCATAATACATATGTATAATCTTATGCTTAAAATAATGAAAATCTAGCGTGACAGTGAACGTGTTAATAAGTAAATGTTGTTCAAATTATATCGTGTTTGATGTCATTTTCATCAGAAAAATCTCATCAATATGTTAAGAAAAATTTCGGGATAAAAAAACCTTAAATTAAAAAAGTTGGTGTTTAAATTGCTTGGTTGCCTCGACTTACGTTTCATCCTTATCTTTTATTCTCTGTCCTTGTCTTCGTTCGGCAAACTACAAAAGCGGACGCCAGGCTCGAAAGCGTAGTCCTTGACTCTACAATAGGCCTGTTTACACCTGTGTAAAGACCTATTCCTTGCTAGTGGTCAATTGGAGAGACATCACTGTAATATGTACGTCCTCGCATGTGTTCAGCCGTCGTTGGAGACTCACGATAAACTTCATTTTTTAGTGTTTCCCAAAGGAAATGATCGAGTGGCGTTAAATCTGGCGAACGAGCTGTCCAAGCAATGTTACTACCACGTCGGATCCAACAATTAGGAAACATTCTGTTTAGTATTTTCTGTGATTGCCGAGCATAATGTACAGGACAGCAAACAATGTTCTGATAACACATTGTTGGGCGTATTAAAGACGGCACATTTTCTAATAGTGTCTCGGCAGTATCTCGGACAGAAAAGTGGAGTACATTAATTTCACCAGTTAACGATCCATTAATAAAGAACGGCCCAATGATCTGGCAACCAATTATGCCGCACCAAACATTCAGATTCCACTGGGCTTAGTGGTCGATTTCACGAAACCAAGTTAGACCCTAAAACGGTATATACAAATGTACCATTTGTATCTCGCATCTGATGCAGAAACCATTCACAAAATTGAACAAGATTCTCAAAGTCTCATCAACGTAGCTCTTGATGTACTGATAAGTGATACGGATAAAACTTCTGAGAACGAAGTATGTACATATACAGGGTGCGCCGTTAGAATCCGGACAAAAGAAGTTTTATGCGAAAAGTTGTTTATTTAAGCCAATATACAAAAATATAAAAAAATTCTGTTATATCTCATTTAAAGGCTTCTTGCTGAGAACTTTTATTCTATATAGCCACCCTGCGCCTCTATAACCTGCTCGATTCTTGCCCTAAAGCGCGAGCACGCTGACTTCAATTGGTCGCGTTTCATAGCCGTGAACTCTGCCTCGATAGCAGCTCGCAGGGAGTTGACGTTGAGGTGCCTGCACTTATTAGTGTGTCTCTCGATTACGCCCCACACGTAGTAGTCCAGTGGGTTTAGGTCGGGACTGTTAGGAGGACAGAAATCCTTCGACCAAAACATGTCGACATTATCAGAGAGCCAATTTTGAACAAGATGACTCGTGTGAGCAGGTGCGCCATCTTGTTGAAATAAATACGGCCTTCCAGAAGCCATAGTCTCCATCCACGGCTTTATTACTGTCCTCAGGACCTCCAAATAAATCTCCTTTGTGACTGTTTCGCCTTTTTGGAAGAAGTGCGGCGGCATGACGTCGCCCTCACTTGAGACGACGCTCAAAACGTGAACACTGGCTGGAAATTTGGTTTTGCCCACAACAGGGACATCCTCAGGATTGTGGGCAAGCCAACGGTCGTTCCTCTGGTTCACTTTGGCATCCACAGTGAAAATTTCCTCATCAAAAAAAAACCTAATGTGGCCAGCAGCTTCGTGTTTTAATGAACATAGAAGCAAATTACAACGGGCAAGTCTTTTAAGCTTGGCGGTCTCGGAGAACATCTGACGGGCTTTGAGAACGTAGGAGGCATATCTAAGATCCTCTTGAGCGATTCGACGGACGATCGTTTCACTCACCCACAAGGCGGAGGCCAATTTTCGAAGTGAAGTCCTCGGATCTTCCAGAATCATGTCTTGGACCCTTTGAATGATTTCTGGCGTCCTTGTTGATTTTTCCCTAACCTGAACTTTTCTCGCCGGGGAAGGAGAACCTTTCTCGAACCCCTCTGAGGCTGCGTATCTCTTCGCAACCTCGCATACCGTCGATCTCGGGTACACAAAGAATTTTATAATTCCGACCGGCGTTCTCCCGGCGCAAAGGCTTTCTATAATCGCCGCTCTTCTATTGTATTCCACGCTTGGCTTGACGAGCTCTGACATTTTGAGGTTATAGAAGTCTTATTGACATATTCAACTAACTTCAGCGCCAATTAGCATCAACCTCTGAATACTAATATGGTGGGAAATTCAAATTCAATTCTGTCCGGATTCTAACGGCGCACCCTGTATGCACAACACTACTCTGACTAACGCTCGCACCACGTAAAATCTGCCGCGTGCTGATATGTGGGTTATAGGCAACAGCTGTTAAGGTAGAAGTATACATATACAACATTCTTCATCATTCACAATTTTTTGATGTTTACGTTTTTCTACGTTAAAATTATACTTTCTTTGAAAATTTTACTAAGCGTTAAGAAGTGTTAGATGCGATAGCTGATTCCGGTCAGGATACTTAGCTTCGTATAGTATCTTAGCTCTCGTAGCATTTTCATCGCACACACTATAAACGATTATGATATATTTTTCACTGTTACTGAACATTATAATAACAGTGTAGCGACACTCCTACGTTCTGTCACCAGAGGGACGGACTAACTACAAGTTTTCGTTAGTCCTTATAAAGGCTCCCGTTTGTATATGTAAGTAAGTAGTACATATGTATAACTTCTGACTTGAATCCCTCCAGTCCTTTTCGCGTCTAAAGCACGGGCCTTCTAGAAAGTCTTACTAACGGCGAGAGGTGTCCACTTATAGGAGGCCCAAAACGAGAAACGCCTCTCAACCTTTCCCTTTTCCGCCTATCCTCACTATCATCTTTTTCTAATATTCCTTCAACAATTAATACTTTCCTCAATAAGACTTTTACGTTTGCTAAGCTTAATATGTAGGTATCTCATGTTGATAATGTTTAATATTTAACAAGAAATGTGTTTACAAACATGACTTGCCGTCGCACAGTGGGGTATTTTCCTCTTAAGCGCGGTAAAAACTATTTTCTGACTGAAATTATATACTTATTCCTCACTTTTTTATTTTTCACAATTTAGGCATATATTTGTGGTCTTGTAGGTACAGAATAATAAATAAAACTTATTTTTTAACAGCATTTATAAATTAATTATTGAAAATATGGGGCAAAGTGAGGAATGCTTTTTTGAAATCATATAAAATTTAATATAATTACAAAATACAAATATTTCAAAACAATTTAACAAATTTATTTTAATCGATTTTAATCAATTCGATATCGATGACGCGCCGTTAGTGTCAATATTAATAAAATTTAAAACACACGTTTTGTAGATCTACGTCAATCATGCACTCAATTCTAACGTATTCAAAGAGCTCAAGCAATCAATTCGATATCGGTGACACGCCATTAGTGTCAATAATAATAAAAATCACTGTAGTTACCTCAGTTGCGGATAGTCACAGGGAACTTTTTCTATATGTTAAAGGTAAGGCTTTGCCCTTTACAATGATACCAGACAGAACACTGAATTTTACTAAATATATATTTAAAATTAACAATGAAAATGGGAAATATTAAAGAACACATAATTCCAAAAATATCAATAATATCGAAATGAAATTTGGTACAATTCAGATACATACACTCCCGTCCATAAGTCATCGGGCACTTACTCATTTTGAGCAAAATGATTATTAAAACAAGAATACAATTTTCCGGTTTGATTTTATTGCTTAATTTTGTTGTAGTTAGCTACTTTATGATAATATCAGTATGCAAACTTAAAAATATACATGTATAATTTGAATAAATGTTTAAAAAGAAGACTGCATGCATAAGCATTTATTTGATACAGTTTCAATTCCATACAACGATATTCTGTGTACACATTCTGTTCACTTTGGAAGTTTAAAACTCTCAGAAATATATATCTGGAGCATCATTAAGTGTTTATAAACAATTTAGGAGGAGTTTTAGACTAAACAGGGATAAGTATGGAGCTACGAAGGAGCAGTCGATTTTTCTTCTGCATTGCTAGTTTGACTGTGCATGTGATCGAAATAAGTAGTTCTAGAAAAGAGTTATCTGTGCACAAACGTTCAATTATTGTTAATCTTGCAAAAGAAGAGTACTCTGTCCGAGAAATAGCATTAAAAAGTAAAATTTCAAAATCTATAGTGCATGATACAATAAAGAAATTAAGTGATTCTTGTGATTTTGTTTACAAAAAAAAGAACTGGACGCTCGAAAAAAGCAACAGAACATGAAGATCGATACATACAGACTTTAAGTAAACGCAATACATAGGAGGCTAACAGCAACAGAAATTGCCGCAGAAGTGAATAAAGACCGAGAAGATCCAATCGGGCGACGACAGTCAAACGGCGTCTTTTACAAGTTGGGCTTCGCGGGTGCATTGCTGTTAAAAAACCGCACTTAAGGATTCAAAACAAGAAAAAACAGCTGCAGTTGGCAAAACACACAAAGATTGGAGTGCTAACGATTGGGAAAAAGTGCTGTAGAGTGACGAATCGAAATTTGAAATTTTTGGCACAAAACGACGAGTTTATGTGCGAAGAAGGGCAAATGAAAGATTGGTAACGGATTGTATTGTTCCAACAGTGAAGCATGGAGGTCAATCTGTAATGGTGTGGGGGGTGTTTTGGCACAAATCTACCTGGTGATTTGGTAGAAATTCAAGGCATATTGAGGAAAGATCAATATTTGAACATTCTTTGCGATCATGCAGTGCCGTCTGGAAAAAGATTAATAGAACAAAACTTTATATTTATGCAGGATAACGATCCTAAACACACTGCGAAAATTTGTAAAAACATTTTAAAGGACATAGAAAACAGTAATGAATTACAGATGATGACATGGCCCCCAAAATGTTAGGCATTTCGTTTAAAAAACTGAAAGTGATCTTCATGTTTCCATAAGAAAGCAAAGAAATAAGAAATCGATTACAGTAGGGGAGACTGGGGCTAAAAGTTACAATTTTGACAAAACATTAAAAATGGCCGAGAAATAATGTAGTTATTCTCTTTACTATTAACTAATCTATTGTTAAATTTATTGTACTTTAACATTCCGAACTTACATTTAATATATTGCAATTAGTTTTTCGTAGGGAGTCATTTATTTGCAACTCGGAGAAGCGTAACTTCTAACCTCGTCTTGGGGCAAGTTCTTACAGTATTGGAGTAAGTTGTTACAAAGAAAAAAGAGTTGCTTTTCAGTGAAATATTTCAATTATTGATGAAATAAAATACAATTTTATGAATAATGTTTATTTATTAAGGTTCAAATCAACCAAAATATACACTACCGCGAATTCGCGATTCTTTTGTTTACCAATAAGCGTCGAATGTTACAATATTAGATTCCAATTGGCTGGTCCGGGGGCCGAGAAAATGTATAAATCGGACATTTGTTATACATTGCCACCATTCTCGTGAACGAAGGCGTTGAAACGTGATCAGCAGGTAAAATTTTACATTAATACTTTAAAATGGCAAAAAGAATAGAAATTAGTATTGAAACTCGAAGTGCAATTATCACACTTAGAAAGGAAGGTTATTCTTTGCGGAATATTGCAAGGAAATTGAATGTATCATACAAGGGCGTGCAGGGTACAGTAACACGTTTTGCGGATACTGGTAGTTTGAAAGACAAACCACGGTCAGGAAGACCCAAAATCACGTCGAGAGTTGAAAATGTAAGAATAAATATTATTTGCAAACGAAACAGACGACTAACGGCCTCGGAAATTCGTGCAGGGCTTAATGATAGTAGACCGAATACAATATCTCTGACCACGGTGAAAAGGCGACTAAAAGCTACAGGTTTAAATGGCCGTATAGCAGCCAGGATACCATTGTTTTCGTCGAAAAATCGTAAAATGCTGTTGGATTGGGCAAAAAGTCACAGAAATTGGACACCTACGGACTGGGGTAAGGTTCTTTGGACCGACGAATCCAAGTTCGAAATATTTGAGTCGCACCGAAGGATATTTGTTCGCCGATCTGTACAAGAAAACATGTTGCCAGAGTGTATTGTACCTACTGCCAAACATGGTGGTGGTTAAGTTATGGTCTAGGGATGTTTCTCAACGGTTGAAGTATATAGGAGATCTAATCAAAATAGAAAATACAATGAAAAAAGAAGACTATAAACAGATAGTCGAGCAGCACGCTCTACCATCAGGTCACCGGTTAATAGGTAAAAATTTTATTATGCAGCAAGATAACGACCCTAAGCACTCAACTCAATTGTGTAAAGGGTTCTTATTGCAAAAAGAAACAGAGCGGGTCTTGAGGAATATGACATGGCCAGCACAATCACCGGATTTGAACCCGATAGAATTTTTGTGGGAAGAGCTCGATCTTGCACTGTCCAACATCGAAACGACACCTTTGGCAACTACTACAAGAAGCATGGAAAAATTTAAAGTTAGAAATACTGGAAAAACTAATTGCCAGGATGCCCAGAATATGTCAGGCTGTCATTAGAAGTAAGGGCGGTTTTTTTTATGAAAAGGCAATTTAAAGAAAAATATCTATTTCTTCGTACAAAAAATAATATAAAATATAAAATATTCTACTTTAGAAGTGACGTGGTGTAAAGTAATTACTCGGGCAGGTTGTTTAATAACAATATATTTATTCCAATCCGATAACGCTTAACCTAATTTTGAAGTGTAGGCGACGCGAGTCTACGACAAAAAGCCTCGTGCCTTTTTTCAGGGCTACCTTAACCTTTTAGGTACGGCGCGCTCGTCCGCAAGCGGGTACCCCTGGCCGCGGATGGCACAAAAACCGTTCATGACGATTCTCTGACACGTGTACTCTTCAACGACAGCTTCGATATTGCCAGGAAATGTGGTTTAGGCGAAACAAATGCGAAATAAAGCAAAAAACGTATAATACCGTCGAAAATCATGATATCCACTTATAAGTATTTTGACAAATATAATTTCCTCAATTACTTTGTAGGCGTTCAATTTTTCTTAGAAACATCCTGTTTCTCTTAATTTACGTAGTGATTCCAAACTTTTGGCCGGTAGTGTATTATTTAAAAAAAAAAACTAAACCAGTAGGTATAAAAATCGTGAACATTATCA